TTGAGCCACGTGAGGCCACCATAACAACGTGTCACAGACCACACAGCTCAAACCGTACTCAAACAAGTACGTGCAGCTCCAGAAATCTGCAGGATTGGAGGAGTTAAAAATCCGGGAAGCTGCAGAAAGGAGTGGACGGGAAAAGTATGTTTTAATCAGTGTGTGCTCTGATTTTGTGTGTCGTCTTTTGGATTTTATCTTGAAAATGAAATTTAAAGCACATGTGGGAGGTTTAATGAATTGGAACGTCTGCCTCTCGGCTTTTCCAAAAGGGGATAAAAACAAGTAAATCAGAGCTAGAAGGGAGAGTGTTTGCACTATTTGAGAAACAATATAAAGATATATATTAACGTCGGACTTCCCAGAATTTGGCCAAATTGTTGTGAATGTATGGGGCCCCCAATGCTTGTGTTTGCCCAGCGGCCGGCTTCGTCCTGCCCGTTATCAACCAGAGAGGGCATCCACCTCTCCCCTCCAAGCCGGAGTCTCACCAGAACAACATGGTGGAACCCATCAAGAAAGATACAAATTATTAGTGGATGCAACTACATTAAAATTCAAACTTCATTAGTCAAATGAGAACTTAAGTACAATTAAAAGCGAACATCGAGCCGGGAGAGTATTTCACCACCTCTATTTAGACAAAGGTCTGACATGAGCTAATGACGTAAACTATTATCATGAATAAATGATTTAAAAAGCGCCAAGCAGAGACAGACGTGGGTTCCGAGCCTGAAAGTTACGGATATACTTGCACAAATGGTCAGCATGCGGATGAATGTGTCTGCATTCATTAATAGTGGAAGATGGAACGTGAGCAAGAACACGTCAGAACTGTGTGCGTAGAAAAACACCACATCGTGTGGTGTTAAGCACGTGGGTCAACCCGCCTGGTTAAAGTGAGGATGACGTCAGCATTTCAGAAGGTGATTGGGGGTCCTGTAACAACCCTCCCAGGACTACGTGCACCATTTTATCCTGTGATTCCACATGCAGGGGTTTAGCCTCAAGAAGCCGGCGAGGCCACGCATGGGGCTGTGTTCATAGGTGTGTGATTGTGACCTCATTCACGCCTGCGTGCATTCGTCACTCTGGAAACACGGGGACAGCTCCGCTGTCCACCAGGCAGTGCTGACCCTGACCTAAGGTGCTAAATCAGAGAGCTTCGGTCCAGGCGGCCGAGGGGTAACGGGGACATGGAAACGATCTGTTGCTAGGTGTACGGTGTGGGGTGCGGTGAGGGTGCGGTCTGGGCCACATGTGCCCGTCAGCCTGGTCGGGGCCTGGGGAGGGGGTGAGCCCAGTGGAGGGAGGTGGGAGGGCAGCTCATGCACTCGTCTTCCTTGGAGGAGCAACAGGATGCTGCGGGAGGATGTTGGTGGTCTTGTTCCCTCCACGAGGAGGATGGGTTTCAGAGGCACCAGCTGGAATGGGGGAGGATGGGGAGGCAGCTGGTGTGGGGTGGAGACCACGAGCAGCAGATGAGGCAGAACTGTCATGTGGCTGGAGACACAGGTCCGCAGGAATCCCACACGCACTGCTGCTAGAGCCACAAGACGCAACTGTGAGCACATGTCCGTGCATGCTCATGCGTGTGCACATGATGCACGAGTGTGTGCATGCATGCACAGAAGGATGCTGTTTTGGGTACAGTGAGAGAAAGACAGGAAGGTAGGAGGAGGAGAGAAGGAAGCCTATCCCACAGCTGGTGGGGCTTACCTCTGCGCTGTGCAATTATGGGCAATTTTTTCCCTTCTATTGTTTGTTTCCCAAGTGTTCTGCATTGAACAAATATTGACTTACTAATTTTTAAAAATGTGCTATGAAAAAGATAAAAGCAACTCACAAAGGCTCCCTGTTCCCCACGTCGCTGGTTCTAGACTCCCAGCTGTCTGGGCATCCCTGGGGGTGGGTGGCCTTCACTCCACCTGTCCACCAGGTGTGCAAACCTCAGTGGGACTTACCTGGGTAGGTTGCTGACCTGACCACCCACTGCATGGCTGGGTGCTCTTGCAGGCCTGTAGGAGCCCAGTGAAGATGAGCCAGACCCCCCAGGGAGCCCCGAGAGCTACAGGTCTGAAACACTGGGAAGCTTAGGTCACGGGCAGTGGATCTGGCAGGTCAGGCTGCATGCTGCAGGGGCTCAGACCAGGGCCACTCCCTGGGATCCTGGGTGGGTGCACAGAGGTCTGAGGGTGTTGATGAGACATGAGAGGTAAGGTGCATCACGAGGAAGAGCTGGGAAGGGGAACCAGGCATCCTAGTAGGGGAGGGGCCTGGACAGGGTCAGGTGGCCGGGGAGGAAAGGCACATTTGGGACTCCGTGAGTAGGATGCTAGGATGGGGGCAGGGTATTGGGACCAGATAGCAAAGGACTTTGGGTCCCAAGCATGAGGCCCTGTTGCTTTGAGGACGAGAGCTCCAGTCTTGCAGGGTGGGGAGGGGGGGTGCCTGGAATAGGGGCACCAGTGTGATGGGTGATGCTTCTCCATCCCCACAGGCCTGCGGGAGGTGTGCAGGAGACCTGGTCCTGCAGACTGAGGAGGGGTGGCGCATCCCACAGCGAAGCAGCAGGGAAGATGCCGCTCACAGCCCGACCACCATGACCTTGGGACTGTTAGGTGAGTAGCAGTGTGGGCTGTTTGATCCCCTGGGGCCAGGCTCTCAGGAGGGAGGCCCCTAGGCACCAAACCTCTCCGTCTGTGCAAGGTGTTACCATCATTCTTTCCTAAAGTAGACATTAGGAGACTTTTGAAAACTGTGGGTAGGACCTGAGACCAGAGCCCAGGGGACACAATGACCTTCCACTGCAAGGTCATGTCCAGGTGACATCCAAGGGTGTTTCCGTTCCTGTTGTCTCTGGGAAGGGGGACAATGCTATTGCATGCAAGTCTCAGATGGAAGTTGCTGAGATTTTCGCATTAGGTAGGGATTCAGAATCACTCCTCTGGGCAGGAGAAGGGGACAGGAGACGTGTCGGGGAGCGTGCAGGGCTGCATGGGGTGGGAGAGCCGACCCCTGCTCAGAGCTGCCACAGCAGAGCTGTGGGCACCCTCCTGGGGACAGGCAGCAGACCAGGGTCAGGCGTGGAGAGGCAGGCCACTGGATGGGTCTAGCTTGGGTTTCCTAGTAGGTGCAATGGAAGGCCAAAATCAGATTTCGGCCCAAGTGCTGGGAAAGTCCCAGCGTAGGGGTGGGGAGGAAGCAAACCCAGGGCTGGGGGACTTGGAGATGGTTGAAGGGTCAAGAGACTGGAGGAGGCTGGAGGCCCAAGACCTATCTGTGGAGCGACAGAGCCCACGGGCTGGTAGTCGGGAGCCCGGGTGGAAGGCAGTATCTGCAGCTGAGGTTTTGGAGATGGTGCAGGTGACTACTGTAGGGGAGGGGGACAAGACCATTCCAGTTAAATACTGGGGTTATCCTGAATGATGGTGGGGGGACAAACCTGTGCAGCTGCGTGGGGTCCTCGGAGAGCAGTGGAGTATTTTGATGGGGGGTGGGGATGGGTAGTGTGCGGTCCTTGGGGAGGAGTGGACTGTACCTCCTGACCCTGTGATTTGTGGGAGGGGAGGATGAGCAAAGCCCACCCAGGGAGGCCTGTCACCAAGGACAGAAGCCTCTGGGGGCAGAGAGGGAACACAGTCTAATGGCAGGGTTCTGTGGGGTTCTGGGGAGAAAGGGCTGACATCTCAGCAGAAACCCACAGACAATGACAGGAGGCATGGGCTCTGTCTGGGTCTGGCCTTGGATCCCACAGACATCAAGGGCAAGGATTCTAGCAGACGGGCTGCTGGCCTTGCCAGGGATGGAGCCGTGCTGATGGAAATCCTGCTTGGGGTCCTCCTACAGGAAAAGGGCTCGGAATGCCATGCTTAACCTGTGGTTGATGTTGCGAGCACCCTGCAGAAAACCTGAGGACATGCACAGGGAAGTGATGGAGCAGGCTTCTGTGGAAGACCCCCCTGGTGCTGGGCAGGGAGGATGGGCTGATGCAGTGGGACTGGCACTGGGGGCTGCTGAGGACTCAGCCGGGAGGACAGAGAGGAAGGTGGTTCCAAAGCTGAAAGTCTGGCTGGCCAGCTGACTGCAAACCCCAAGGGCTGTGTGCAGGCATTTGGGAGAGGATAGATCCATGAAAGTGGTGGATTTGCTTAATGGTGGGTGCAGATAATAGTTAACGGCAAACGAGACAATAAAACATGTAATTAGCAGGCATACAGCATTGGCTGCCAGGGATTGTGATGAGAGGCAATGAAACACCAAGACTAGTGGGGAATTCATGGGGGTTGCTGAAAGCCCTCACCTTTTTGGGGGTGGGAAGGGGAGCTCTGGGAGTAGGCAGACTCCAGAGTTACCCAGAGGGACGTAAATCCTGGCTCCAGCTCAGGACCAAGGGCCATATGACTCAGTGTGTTCATTTTCTTCACCTACAGAATGGAGTCGCTAAGAGTGCACACCTCAGAGGGTGGTGGTGCAGATGACATGAGATGGAGAGTGTTGGGCATCCAGGACACTGCCTGGTCCAAGTGCTCCCTCAATGCTCTAGTTGTTAATACCGCCATCATTGTCATCTCCACCATGACAATGACAACCACCACCACCATCACCACCATCATTGTCATCTGCACCATGACTATGACAACCACCACCCACCACCACCATCATCACCACCACCATCACTTACATCCTCCTCCTCCTCCTCATCATCATCACCACTGCCACCACCACCACCACGACCATCATCTCCACCATGACTATGACAACCGCCACCATCATTGTCATCTCCACCATGACTATGACAACCACCACCACCACCACCATCATTGTCATCTCCACCATGACTATGACAACCACCACTACCACCATCATTGTCATCTCCACCATGACTATGACAACCACCACCACCACCACCATCATTGTCATCTCCACCATGACTATGACAACCACCACCACCACCACCACCACCACCATCCTCACCACCACTACCATCATCATTTCCATCAACCATCATCACTACCACCACCATCGTCACCACCACCATCACTTCCATCCTCCTCCTCCTCATCATCATCACCACTGCCACCACCACCACCATCACCACCACGACCATCATCTCCACCATGACTATGACAACCGCCACCATCATTGTCATCTCCACCATGACTATGACAACCACCACCACCACCACCATCATTGTCATCTCCACCATGACTATGACAACCACCACCATCACCACCATTCTCACCACCACTACCATCATCATTTCCATCAATCATCATCACCACCACCACCATCGTCACCACCATCATCACTTCCATCCTCCTCTTCATCATCATCACCATTGCCAACACCACCACATCACCACCATGACAATCATCATCATCACCATCAGCATTGGTACCACCTCCACATTGTCATAATCATCACCATCATCACCATCATTACATCACTATCATTGCCATTATCATCAACACCATCATCACTATGATCCTATTATGTTCTTATTGTTTTTAATACCGAGAGCTATGCAAGCCCCAGGTCTTCTGGAAACAGCTCTACCCAGAGAAACACTGCATGTTAGACCTTAGTGTCCATCTGCTCCATGGTGAGGATGAAGAGGTTATAGGACTGGCACAGTGTTGTGGAGCTTCCATGAGGCTCAGTAAATGCTGTCATTATTAATTCCATCACCATCGTCATCACCACCATCACCACCATCACCACTGTGGTGCAGGACCCAACACCACGCCATGCCTCACCTATTATGTGACCTTGGAATAATTTGTACCTCTATTTCTGCAGAGGCAGAACCAGGAGGAAAACGGAGAAGCCCTGTAAATCCATAGTCCATTCCCTGCTTAAGCATAATCAGTGCACTGACCGCACAGCATCCTCAATAAAGTATGAAGGCCAAGTGTCCACGTCCCCGTGGCCCTAATGATCCTGAGGGGGAGCCCATGCCCTGCTTCCCTGCCTGCGGTCAGCCCTGATGACATCTACTGAGTCCTCCTGAGAGAGTCATCAGGGCTGCAGGGGTGGGGGGAGCTCAGTAGCAGGGCACTGTGCCCTCCCTCCCTTCCCTCTCCCTCCTGCTGGGCTGATCCCCTGCTGGCTGCCTTCTCCCCTTCTGTCCCCATTAATCTGTTACTAGATATACATCTTAGCTTCCTATCGGGAAGCCCGTGAATTGGGCCATTATGTGGAAGAAAATTGTTTTTCGGTGATCACCGGGAGAGGAGACACCGCCAGCCCGAGGGGAGGAGCAACTGAAGCCCAGGAAGCCCGGGCCATCCGTCTCTGTTTGCTGGGTCGTTGGGGCCTCGGAGCTGCCAGAGCAGATAGCAGCCCCCAGCAGTGTGGCGGCCCCCGAGGGGCTGAAGGCGAGGCCTTGCATCCTGGTCATGATCTCAGAGAGGCTGCGCGACGGGGGTGGGGGCAGGAAGAAAGACTGGGCCTCTGGAAAGAGCGATATTCCACTCCAGGTGCCCAGGAACAGGGCGGTTACGGGCCCCGCAGTGACCTCCATGTGGGCCTCAGGTTCGCTTTGTGTGGCAGCCCCTGGGCAGCGGTGGGGATGGGGCCGGGGGGGCGCTGCTGCCCCCAACCCCCCTTCCTAACTCCTGGCCCCACCCAGGCTGTTCTCTGCTGGGGTCCATCCTCCCCCCTGAGCAGCTCAGGTCCCCAGATAGGACCCAGCGGGACCTGGGCGGCAAGTAGGAGGGGAGCCCGGGGCTGCAAGGGGTTGTGACAGACAGGAGTGGAGGTGGGTGACTTCCCAACGGGAACCCAAATAGAGACCCAACACCCACGCTTCCTCCTCACCAGAACCCCAGCAATCCCTGGAATCAGGAGTCATCCACCGAAGACAGCTGAGACAAGCAAGGGATGTCGAGGTGGGAGGTTGTTTGTCCCTGTGAACCCTTGAGTTGGTTGGAACCCCAGGGCTCCGGGCAAGGCCTATGTGCCTCCAAAGTCCTCACATGGGAGGCCGGTGGGGCCTCCAAGAGGCAGAGTGGGGAGAGGTGTGGGTAGAGCTGTGGCTGATACCCACAGCCCAGCCGGGGCCTCCAGAAGAGAGACTGCGTGTTCCCTGGCAGGTGAGCACCTCGCTAATGATCATAGGGACCGTTATTCACCGGGAGCTGCACTAATGGGAAAGCTCACCTTCTCGGCAGCGGCTCAGCGGCCCTCACCCAGGCCGTTCCGGAGACCATACTGCACTCAGAAGACAGGCAGCCGGGCCAAGATGCCCAAGGGGCAGGGCCAGCAGCAGCCGAGTGGGGTCAGCGGACTCTCCCCAGCAGGGTCAGGGCCCCCGTTCTCCCTGGCGTCTGCTTGAAGTTCCTCTCAGCCCAGCAGGAGCCTGGCTCTGGGTGGGCTCAAGATGTCACATGGTCAGTCGGCCCCTCCCTCCCTGGGGCTGCAGACTTGCATTGCCTCCCAAGCAGGCGGGGAGAGCACTGGGCAGAGACCGAGAGACCTGGGCCCAAGTCCAGGTTTTTGCTCCTTGGTGACTTCCATGTAATCCCTCCAAGAAGACTGCCCCACCCCCTCACCCACTGCCAAGACCAGCCTACCCCTCCTCCTTTACACCCCAGCCCCATCTCTGCCGGTCGGACTCCCAGCTCTGGGAGTGTATCTTACCACCTGTCTGCTCCACAAAGACAGAATGGGTGCCCCAGTGCCTAATAAAGGAAATGCATACAGTAAGTGCTCAGCAGGGGGTATTCATATAAACGGACACAGAGAGAATACATGCACCAAGTGTCTATGCTTTACACGATCAGTCCCCAGGGGTGGGAGGAGGGAGAGAGCACTTGTGTGTAGGGTTTCGAGGGGGAGCCCTGGAGGAGGAGGGGATGTGGCCTGCGTTGGGCTCCGGAAGAGATGGGGGACCTAGGAGGTCTGCGGGGAGCGGCAGGGCCAGGCAACAAGGCACATGCAAGGAAGCGCTCCCATGCTTCTCCATGGGGGGCTGTGCGGATGCTCTAACTTTCTGACATAATGCACGACCCCAGTACCTGCGAGCGATCAGACAGAAGAAGAAACGAGCTCGTGCGTCCAGAGTGTGCCCGTCAGGACAGGCCAGGCCAAGCTGCAGTAACACACGGCCCAGCCTCTCCGTGACTCAGACACCCTGAGCCTGCCCCGGAGGGCTCACGCTCACACTCAGGGACCCAGGCAGGCTTCGCAGCCCCCACCCCGACTGTTACCGGTCAGCATGGCAGAGGGAGAGCAGAACCAGCCCGGGCTGGTGGAGCTGCTCTGGGGACGAAGCCATCACCGGGGGCCCGATGCGCTGGCCCCATTGGCAGGCCGGCATGCTATGTCGACAGGACTCGGCGTGTGAGCCTTCAGGCCCCTGCCAGGAGAGAGCGCCAACCCAACAGTGCTTGAGATCACCAAAACATAACAGGGAAAAATATTCAACAAGTAAAAGGACACCAAGAATCACTCATGCACGCAGATGTGTAAGCTGAGCTCTACGGCACGCTGCTGGACGCAGAGCGCCCCGCAAGCCGGTCGAGGAGCGGAGCGGGGGCCACGGGCTCCTTTCACGATTAGGTTCCAGGTGCTCGATGAGCTGCAGGTTCCTGCTGAACGGGGCCCTGCTGTTCCCTGAGTCCTCGTAAGGGGGACTTGCTGGGAGGGGCTGGCAAGGCCTGGCCAATCTCGAAGGCGACACCAGAGTGTGTCTGGTGGCTTGTAGCCTCCTCGGGCACATGCAGTCACCGGGTCGAAGGTCAGTGCAGGGGATGGAGGCCACGGGAGGAGTTCCTGGAATGTGGCTCCAGCCAGGATCCCAGCGTCAAGGGAACGGTGTGTAGGCCGAGTGTGGCCCCATAGGTTTGTGTAAAACCCGGCACATGACCCCGGGGCTTAGCACAGGCCACTGCCTGTCACACTGTTGGGTCCAGGGGTGGGCCCTGCCGGCTTGCCTGAGCCCCCCTGGCCCCCACGGGCTGGCGAGGATGTGCTTACGCGTCTGGGGCCTCCGGCCCCTGCCCCCGGCCCCAAAGCTGGCTCTCTGCTCTCACGTGGCCCTCGGGGACGGATGCAGGCCTTCGCTCAGTGACGGACTGCAGGTACTGCACTTACCCAAGAGGACTTCAGGACCTCTGAAGAGCAGGTCCCTGCCTGGGACAGTCAGCCCTCCCGCACAGGCCTCCTGCAGGCATCACGGGCCGACCCCTGGGGGGCTGGGCGGGACACACAGCAGGATGCGGAATGCACAGGGGGGCTGCCGGCTGAAGCACGGACAGACGCCTGTCCTGCCTTGTTTGTACTAGTTAGTGGAGAGAGAACTTTATTTTTTTATTTTTTTTTTTAAAGATTTTATTTATTTATTTGAGAGAGAGAGAATGAGAGAGAGCACATGAGAGGGGGGAGGGTCAGAGGGAGAAGCAGACCCCCCGCCGAGCAGGGAGCCCGATGTGGGACTCGATCCCGGGACTCCAGGATCATGACCTGAGCCGAAGGCAGTCGCTTAACCAACTGAGCCACCCAGGCGCCCGAGAGAACTTTATTTTTAACAGCCACCCATTTCTATTAATAAAAATATTAGCCAGTTACGTGTCTGTCTCAGAGGGGAGAAAATTTCCACGGAGAAAATTCCAGGTCTTATAAGGAATACAAATGACTCCTGTCTGGTGTTAATTAAAACTCTGTCGCGCAGCCTTCCCCCAAGACAGCGGGAGCCATGGGCCTCGGGGACTGGGTGTTAGGCCTCACGGTGAGGCTGGGAGCGGGGGGGGGGCCCAGTTACCTCCCCCACCCCTGTTAAAGGTGCCACTCAGGAGGCGGGGGTTTCTGAGGGTCTCCATCGGGCAGCAAGGCTGCCCCACCCACCCCTCTGGAGCAGCCCCGCTCTGCCCGGATGGCCTGACTCTCAGCAACCCCCGGGCCTGAGAAGGAGGCCCACTGGGAGGGAGGGAAGGTGTGGACAGGCGGTGGAGCATTCTCTTGTGACCACAGGCCGTCGTGGCTGGTCCTGGCATCCGGTCAGTGCCGGCACCAGCCTGGGAGCCCGGCGTGGGCCCCTGGGGAGTGCCAGGCCTATCTCTGGCATGCGGGCCCCACTCGCTCCCCAGGGCTCCGCTACGTCAGGAACTGCTTCGGGGTTCTCCAAGCTTGCGGAGCAGTGGTCAGGCGGAGAGCCATCGATCGGGAGCGGTGGCTCGTGTGGGCGCCAACTCCTTGCAGAAAACTGGCCCAGCGTGGCCGCAGTGGGGCCTCGGTGACTCTGCACTGGGAGCCCAACACCCTTTGTTAGGAGGACACCGAAGGGACGGCGTGTCCCGAACACGGGCAGCTGGGGGCACCGCGGACTGGCTTCGGAGGG